ATGTCTTCCATCTGAATCCGCATCTAAACAACGGGTTCCTGAGAGTGACCGGCCGTCTCCAAGAATCAGAACTGACAGCACAAGAAAAGTACCCGCTGATACTGCCCAGCAAACACCGCTACACCAAGCTGGTCATTCTAGACCTGCATGAGAATCTCTGTCATGCAGGGATACAGCAGACAATGTTCGCTCTCCGATCCCGGTTCTGGGTACCCCGGAGTCGCCAGACAGTGCGCCAGACCATACATGGCTGTGCAAGATGTCGGGTGTTTCGCCTGAAGCCACTGTCACAGGAGAGGGCGCCGCTTCCCAAGGAGAGGGTATGCGGTGGCGCACCCTTCTCGCGCATCGGTGTCGACCTGGGTGGACCCCTGTACTTCAAAGATGGCGAGAAATCTGAACCGGTGAAGGCCTACTTCGTCCTCTTCACCTGCACTGCCGTCCGCGCCGTCCACCTGGAGCTTGTGGAAACGCTTTCGACAGAAGACTTCCTGGCGGCCTTCGAGCGGTTCGTGGCTCGTCGTGGAAAACCCACAGTAGTTTTCAGCGACAACGCCACAAACTTTCGAGGAGCCGCATCCCGCTTGGGCTTGACCCATCTAGGCGTGACCTGGAAGTTTAACGTGCCAAGAGCCCCCTGGTGGGGAGGATTTTTTGAACGAATGGTGCGGACAACAAAAGACGCTCTGAGGAAGACATTGTACAAGAGCCTGATGACGTTCTCCGAGCTGCAAACAGTGTTATGTCGCATTGAGAGTGTCATAAATGCGAGACCACTTTCACCGCTCACTGAGGACATCAACGACGTACGGACTCTTTCGCCTGATGACTTCCTGCGAGATACGTCACATGAGTCTGCGGAGCGTGCCGCTACGGACCACCCGGAGACGGATGGCGAACCTGGGCGCTCTCTGGGAGCAAGATGGAGGTACCGACGGCAGTTCCTTCAGCACCTATGGCAAAGGTGGGCACGAGAGTACGTGAGGGAGCTGAGAGTACCGCGCCGTGAGCCAAATGATCAGCCCAAGGTGGGGGACATGGTCTTGATCGGCGATAACACGAAGACATCACCAGCACTCTGGCAGATGGGCAAAATCACCCAGCTGCACCAGGGACGGGACGGTTTGACCCGGTCTGCGACAGTGCGAACAGCTGGTGGTGAGCTCGCACGGCCAGTCCAGAGACTGTACCCCCTGGAAGCAACCTGACTTCCAGTGTCACAGAGACCGGAACAACAGAAGCGCGTGCTGGCGCACTTTCGCGGGGGGAGGATGTTGTGAAATGCGGAGCTCCCTCGCATCATCCTCACGCGACCAATACCGATGTTTTGATGGTTAACCGGAATGTCGAAATACAGGACAGTTGGACCCCAGAACTCAAGTGTTTTATCACGATTAGATTAGATTAGATTTATGAATTGATTCTGATAATGGATGTTAGACGTTAGACACTATGGACGATAGATTAGAACAAGACTTCGATTTATAAACGTTTGGAATCCAATCACAACAGCCCTATCCGCTTACGTCTCCATCACGTTTATGCTTCGTATGTGAAGCGGTCTTTAGGCAAACAATTCCGATAGGCGGCTATTTTTCTGTTGGTAAAACTGGCCACTAATCATGAATTTCATTTAAGTTTTGATCACAGATGATGCCTTCATGCATTTAGGCTAGGTCGGGTCAGGTCAGATCAGGTCAACCAGTAGCAGTTTAGTCGGATATTCATAGAAGGTGTCAAACACTACCTACTATCAGCGTCGTAGCATGTTAATGAGGCACTAAAACTATACTTCGTAAACGTTCATATGGATGCTAAATTCAAAATAAGCTGCAAAAGCTACCCTAGAAGCATGTAAGACTCGGATAAGGGCCAAATGCCAATCAAAATGCCAATGCCAATCAAAAGGGTCAAATGCCAGTCAGTAGTATTTGCTAATCGAGGGAAGGTGATAATTGCATCGCGATGGAGCGGTTGCCTGTCTAAAAAAATGTCGCGAAAAATGCTGGGTGCCGCGATGCCTGCCGTTGTGAAAGGGCGCCGTCTGAAACCGTAGACTCCCGTGGCAGCTAGCTCATGATGTTGCCGCTGTCATAATCATATGAACTATGCACTATGCAGGTCACAGGAGGGAAAGACATGCTGCAGGTCATAAACGTTCTTGTGCTGAGTAGGTATGACGCCAATAACCATGCAACTTTTATCAGCTGATGCACTTCTCCACATATCAGGCAACCTTCTCGACCCATTTCAAATGTTTATCTATTTATATATGAAATGAAATTCAGCTTCATTTCATTACACTTTCCTGTTTGAGTGATGGTTTTAAATTCCAACCAACACTTAGCAGTGTGCAACATTTTATTTCATTGGTTTTATAGCTTGGATTTATATGCTACAAGGCGAAGAGTTAAATACCGCTTTATGTTTTCATTTCTTGCAATCCCATCCCTCAACTGAAAGCTGAATGAATTAGGTGAACTTCAAATGCCGGCTTAATTAGACCGTTCACAAAATTTGCTTGCCTCCCATCGCTGATAACTTTTGTCAGCAAGCAGTCAGCCGTTGGTAGGTAGTGGTACCTACATACCTACATAGTTATGTGCCCATCGGCCATCAGTTATATAGTTATTCAGTTTGTAAAGTTAAGTTACGGTTGGTTAGTTGATTGAGTTTTACGGAAGCGTTGACTACGTGTTCGCGCAAATAAGTACCTACCTAATGGCTAAAGTCGTATGCCATCCATGGAAAATGATGAAGATGATCAGCAAATTAACACGAGATATCCTGAAGTTGTATAGGTCCTGCCGGCTTTTATCCTCAAAGTCGCCTTAAAGATCACTTAAGTCCGGAATTTTCGAAGCAGGTAGGTAGAGGATCGTTTACCTACTCTGTTTTGCTACATAGGGTGATAACTTAAGTACCTTCTTTAACCCTCGCCGGCACAAGCCATTTTGCGTCCTTCGACGGCACAAGGGGGGGGGGGGTTGGTACGACCCTCCCTCGCGTTTGGCCCCTGATCGAGCTAGAGCTTCGCGGAAAAAAAACGAGCATGTTGCCCCCCACGAGAGGAAGCCGATGATATCCAATTTTAAGGTCCTAGGTCATCGGGTGACCTTCCAGGTCAGGTCAATGACCCGAAAATCGGGAAAATCGGGACCTGGCTGTTAGAAAGTCGTAAAGTGTGGCTGCTATGGGGTTTTACCGTTTTCCGGGGTGCTGATCAAGAATATCGTGTTATTTTTTATCAGAGATGATGCCTTTAAGCATTTAGACCAGGTCGGGTCAGGTCAGGTCAGGTCAACCGGTAGGGGTCGTGACGGGTATTCGTAATACGTGTCAACCGCTTCTGACAGCTTCGTAACATGTTACGAAGGCACCAAAACTACTTCGTAAATGTTCAAATGGTTGCTAAATTCGAAATCAGCTCCAAAAACTAGCCTAGAAACATGTAAAACTTGAAAAAGTGAACCGAGGTCACTAAAGTCCCGGTTTGCCGGTCCCGTAGCTCAGTTGGCAGAGCGTTGGACTCCGCGTGGTGAGAGCACGCGTTCCCGGTAATGACAGTCCGGGTTCGAAGCGCGACGTGCGCTCGACATTTACGGACCTCCTGACACTGGTATGGTTGCGGTTGGTGGCAGGCCGTAGCCAGGCGAAGTCAGCGAGGGGACCGGCCGTGCGCGGCTTTGTGCGCACTTTGTGTATATTTTATCTAAATTCTGCCATAGAACCGGAATTGCGTGATCGGAGGGCAGAGGGCAGGGTCACCGCAAAAAGCTTCGCTTAGAGGTGGCTCTGTCCTTGTGAATCCTTCCTATCAAAAGGTTCGAACTAAGTTTATAAAAAAGGTCAATGACCTGACTTGACCTTCAGGTGACCTTGACATCCACCCTATGCATGGGAGCAACATCAAATCACATGCTTGAGCGTTTGAAACCACGAAAAGCTTGCAAACGGCTTGCGCGGCTAATGCGAGCCGACATACGCCGAATCTTGATTCCGGCCAATCATGGTCTCGGAAAATAGATCACAGGTCAAAGGTCATTTGGGTCAGGGTCATGAAATTTTCAGATTAGGTGAAAAATTGATCAATGCGAGGGTGCTGAAAGTTTCATCGCGATCGGCCGCTTTTTACGCGAGTTATTCGCGAAAAACCTTAGGAATAGGGGGGGGGGGGTTGCATCAACCCCCCTCTGTGCCGGCGAGGGCTACCGGCTAAGAGCCTAAATTGGGTAGGTATTTGTACCATGGTTTGACTCTTGACTGGTGCATGTTATGACGTGATCTGGCCTTGAGTGACCTGGGTCAGAAATTTCCAATACGTTTGCGGGAAAAATGTTTTATAAGATAGATACCCCAAATAGATAGCAGTACCTATTCATCCCCAAAGGCCCCCCTGGATCCACCAGTGGCAGTTTTTTTTAAATAAATTTAGTCTGAATGGCTGAATGGGCGGATTTGAGGAATCAGAGCCCGCACTAAGCATAGCTTGTTGTGCTGACCCTGACCCCACCACCCGATCGCGCAATTTCAGTTGTATGGCATAATTTTGTCCGAACGTTTAACGTGCCCTCACGACTGGACACGGTCCCCTCCGCTCACTCACGTTACCTGGCTTCTGTGCGGCCCCCGCCACAGACACGCACGCCATTACACGTAGGAGCTAAATGTGGCCGCCCGCACCGGGGCTTGAACCGGGCTCTCACTTCCGGCTAAGCGTCGAATTCCGGCGCTTTTATCCATTCGGCCACGGAGAGGACTAGTGGCATTTGGCACTAAAGGCTGCTGTTTTCAAAAAGATGTTCCGACTCGTGAAAAAGCACAGTATGTATATGTACAGGTACAGAAAACTGATAGCTGAAGCCTGAAATGGTGGAAAAGCTGGGGATCCAAGGTATTCAATCACAATGCAAGAAACCTTTCCAAAACTTCATATGGAAGCAAATTCACTTCACCACTGAATATGGTGTCATCGGACCTCTACAAACGTGGCGTGTAAAAGACATTTGCAAAGTCAACAAAAGTTTTCCGGGGGCGAGGAGTGTTGTGGTAAATCGGGTAAATCAAAATCCCTTTGGTAAGTCTGGGTAGGTCCTTGGTAAATGCATTGGTAAATGCCAATTGAATGTTTGAGATATTTGATAGATATTGTGAAAAAGATGGCAGCAGACGCCAGACTGAGACGGTACACGAAATACTCTGCAACAGGCAGCACACCAGAGCAGTCTCGGTTAGGGGAGATACTCACTAAAACTTAAGCTTCACAATTCACATCCTGACTACATTCAGGATGTGAAGCTCAAGTTTTACCCATAACTTAAACTAGGTAGGTAACCAACCAATCAGCTTTACAGTTTGTGCATAATTATTCTGATGTTGTATGACTCAATTCTGTCATTTACTTTTCACAGGTGCATCAAACTACGATTGCCTGGGAGTTTGCCATGTCTCTGACTGATGAAGAGATAGCTGCAGCGTGCTCGGAGCCTGATCCTGCCACTGCTGGTACCCACCTCCAGCACACCATGTACCGAGTGAAGGACGCAAAGGTCAGGACCAGCCTATTCAGAACAGTGCAGTGGTTTGCTTGGTACAGGCTGCTGCTGTTCTGGCCTGTGAGGCCCATGTAATCTTAGTAGGTAGGTTATGTTTGTGAAAGAACGGGACAGGCCGGTGCAGTGATTTCATTTGAAACAGCCAACAGGGTGGTAGCTAAGTACCAAGTAAGGGAGAGGCTTCCTTATCAAGTGAGTTTCCACATCCTTAGGCTGAAACTTGTCATCTGGCAGCCTTTCATGCCTCATTAAATGCTATCTATCTGGCACTTGTCTCCTTGTTTTTGGTAAACATTGATGCTCAGTGTCCTGATTATGTTATTCCCAGTTAGTGTTGAGCATGACTGTGAGACGGGCAAGATGTGGAAGTGAGATGAGATGTCTCCCAGAGAGGTGGAAGTGACATGGAGGCTGGTGCGATGTCGGAACAGTTGGCTCTCTTGGTCACATTGTCAGATGATACTGATGGTGACGAGGAAGGCTTGACTGCTGGGAGGTTAGCATAATGTATAAAAAAATGGCTAGAGCCAGGAGGTTAGTGCCTCCATTGGCTGTGCTGTAAGAGGTCATGCTCCAATGATAACTGCGATCTGAGTATGTACAGAAATATCTAATGGCAAATATTCTGTTTAGGTATCTTCGATGTTCTTTTCTTTCTTTCTTACGAGTTGAGCTAAGTGTTTTTGGTGAAATCATTAAGGTCAACGCCAACGTATGTTGGTGACAATAAGGACATCGTTATTCGTTTGATCAGAACACTACCTCTACCAAATCACCGGTGGGCACTCTCCCTGCAGGTGTCTCTGGACTTTTACACGCGAGTCCTGGGCATGCGGCTGCTGAAGCGACTTCACCTTCAGGAGGCCAAGGTCTCGCTCTATCTTCTCGGCTTCGAAGACGCCGCCGACATTCCCTCCGACCCCAAGGAGCGCACGCGCTGGTGTTTCGGTCGCCGCGCAGTGGTCGAGCTCGCTCACAAATGGGGAACGGAAAGCGATCCGAAGTTTACCGGCTATTGCAGTGGTAACGATCCTGCTTCTAACGGGTACGGCCACATTGCATTGCACGTGACTGATCTGAAAGCCGCCTGCGAGCGGTTCGAGCGACTGGGAGTGGAGTTTGTTGTAAAGCCTGGGACGGGTCTGGTGAAGGGGATAGCGTTTATCAAGGACCCGGATGGTTATTGGATTGAGATTCTGACGGCCGACGGGGTGGCGGAAACCTTCCCCGAGGTGGACTAGGGCGCTGTTCGTGGGGTGCAGTTGGGGAATGCGTACCACTGGTGCATTGGTACTAAACTGTCCATGATGCAGCCCTATTTTTAGAATGAACATAGCTGCAGGTTGATCGGCAGGAAATATTCCATGTATGCCTTGCATTACGGGCCAGGTATTTCAAAAGCAATCTTGCCAAGTTAAGGTAGCTAGAAGCTTTAATCCCATGAATTATATTTGTGTTGATTTTAAATTGTTGCTATTTTCCTACCATGGCATTGGTATTTGGTACATTGCCATCAGAACACAGGAAGTTATGCTGTGAATATCATGGAAGTATTGTGACGGTGATGGTGCGTTATATACGTGATATATACAATGACGGTGCCTTGTATACATTACTGATCAAACTTTTTTCAATGGATATTCTCAATTGACTTGCTGTGAAGCGATCTAGCAATACAATTTCCGTGAAACGGAATACGGATATAATTTGTTCGTTCATGTCTTCGTTCGTTTTCGTTTCGTGCGCTTTCTGATGGCATCGTTTGGTGGTGAAGTGAAGTTGAATGATGGGAACAGGAGAAGTATTTTAGTTTTTTTTTTGCTTATCTACTGGATCATGTATATCGCACTAGGTATCTTGAAATAACCAATAATATTTTGTGCTCCTTAAATTACTGCCGATTATTTACAAAACTGAACCATTCCCGTCAAAAGTCCCGTGAATTGTGTTTGCAATAGACGAAATCCGGCCTCAGATAATGATAAGTTTTGGTTTGATTCCTTCGGAAGATCATCGGTCAATAGCGTAATCACCAGTGAAAAGTCGGAACTCAGAAATGCCCCGGGGGGACATCCTTCCCAGTCGTATATACAGTCGGCCATAGGTACCGTCGTCGCCTGAATTGGAACCGCGCACAATAATGAGCTGAGTGGCGTGAGGTCGAACGATAACATTCAGCTGTGATGAAGAATGGAAAGGGGTAGGGCCCAGGGGCAAATTGCCCAGTTAGCCCATTAGTACGTTATGGGCCATCCGGGTTACTTCACCGGTATGTGCTGCCATCTGTGGCTGTGCTGGTGCTGCCACCTAGTACGAGGCTGCTGGGCTGATTCGGAACTTATTTCGGCCGAGGACGGTGGCATGCTTGTTGTGCAAAATCAAACACTCCCTTTGAGCATTTTCCTTATGAATGAGCTCGTAGGAAATATTTTGGATATGAAGTCAGAAGTGCATACCTACTTATGTGCAAATATGCAATCTACACAATCTATATTCTATATGTTGCGACGGGTTCTGCTTCTGAGCTTTCGACTGCCGGCAGTGGCTTTGGGCATTAGCAATAGTGGTGGCTCAACATCAACAAATACCGCTGCTAGTAGAGTGGGAGTTTACGTCAAGTTTATGTAATGGGTAGAAGTTCGTAAGGCATGGAGAAAATAGCTTGACTGAAGTCCGAACTCCGAACTAATGCCTGACGTGATGCATGAATTTCATGGCTATAGCGGTTGGTGAGATACGATATGTATTATGTTTCATATTTTTCGGGGAAAAATATTTGCACGTAGTTTTCAGCGCGATCAGAGTGCCGTGGTGACCGTTTACCCGATGCACTGGGCTGGGCGATAAAAACCAGTGCGATTACGCCGGTTACGAGGGGCCATTGGAGAATGGGAATTTTCGTAGGTCAAGCAGCCTCCAGGCTCCAGCTTCCAACAATGGTGATTGGTGTTATACCCTCAGAAATGAATGTGAAGCCTCCGAAGCCACGTACAGGACCCTCAAAATCTCGTGTGGCCGATTAGCGACCGGCTTGTGACCCTCAGAACGGTGTGGGTCCTTATAGCCTTTAGACGTGGGGCCCCTTGAGCTGGCTGCGTGGGCCCTCAGAGGCCTACAAAGTGGCCCCAGGGCTCAGAGAGCTGCATGGGCCTTCGAAAAAAGCTGGGGAAGGCAGGAGCGGAGAATTGTCATAATCCCAGGGGGTGCTTTTCTAGCACCTGGCGAATGGAAGCGTTGAATTCTTGCGTAGAAAAGCACATATAGATGCGTTTTCCCCGCAGCATCACTCTTCTCGCGACGTACGCAAAGCAGTTTGTGTCTCAGACGTATTTTAAGCACCCCTGGAGCACTATTATAAGGCGACTTTTGAATTTCAGGGGGTGCTCGAGCACCCCCAAAACCCCTAATTGATTCTCCACCCCTGGGGGAAGGTACGATTCTCGTGGGCCATCAGGCGTCGCTCAGTGCCTACGGAGACTGGCTTTTTGGCCGCAAAAGTCATCGCGAAACCCCTAGACGTGCTCGGCAATTCGGCAGTTCTCCAGTTAGTTTGTGCGGCCCTGAACAGCCTTGTCCTTGTGGGCGGTGTGGTCTTTCAGAAGCCAACTCAACCCTTAGAACTCTGACTGGGCTAAGGCCCTAAAACTGGCCATTCGGTTCTGCACCCCCTGTGCCGACCCCCTGGCTGCGCCACTGACACCCAGTAGATACTCATTGAATAAGTACTGGGCGCATTTCCCATCACTAGGACCAAAGCCATAGCCGGCGCCAGCTGTTTGGGGAAAAGGCTGCGCTGGCGCCACCTAGCTGCGTCAAACCCTGCGCAAAAGTTGCAAAGTGCCGAGTCGATCGTTATTCACCTGTGTACGCCATCTTCGCGAGGGATATTCTTTTGATACGGAGTGACTGTGTGCCCGAATACATTGCGAATTAATGGTGGTCCCAGGGAGCTCGTGAGTGTGTGGATCAAGTGTGGATATGACGTCCAATAGTCAGAGATTGCCGACTGCTGAGCGGATCGTCAAAAGTAAGTCCATTTTTGGGCCGTGTCAGTGTTCATGGGCGTTCTCGATTGGCCGTGGGGCGGTTTACCTACGGACTCAGACTAGGGGAGGGGCGGGGATAAACAAAGGTCTTCAGAGACTGGTTTATTGATATTGCTGGACATTGATGTGATACGCCTACGCTTCTATGCTACAATTTTTGGTCCATGATTTCACAACTGCGGGAAGCTGCACATTAATTCGTGTTTTTCCTGAGAGCAGTGATGCCACTATTCCTGACAATAACATCTGCTTTGAGAGCATGAGTCCTATATTTTATGAATCTGGGATGGATTTTTAGTTGGATTTGTGAGGCCTCCAACTGGCCTGCACAGGGAAGCCCTGATCAGTCCAAGTCATAATCCCTAAATAATATATTTCAATTTGAATGGCAAACAGTATTTGGTGCCTCAGAGAGATAGATATATTCATGAAGTGGTTTCAGCATTTTTATGATCTGATACTGCTGAAAGTTGCCGTAAGATACCTATCTACCTATCATGCAATCTTAGCAAGAACGGTATGAGTTTCTGTGAGTTCATATCGCTTATCTACCTTACACGTATTGAATTGAAAGTAGTTACTTACTTTCCTATGCAAGAAATTGACAACTACTTCCAACCAGTATCTAGGAATCCTAGATGCTGATTGGAAGTAGTTTTTATCAATTTCTTGCATCTCAAAACTGCCCATACTTCAATGAGAGGGCCTGACTTAAAGCATGCTTTTGTTTTAGAAGCAAAACAGGTTGTCTAAATGATAAGCCACTAGGCAACATGGATGGACATCATGTTCTAGTTTAATTGAAACCATTGTTATGCTTGCCATTTTGATTGTGTGGTTGTAACTTATAAGCCTGTGTTGATCATGCACAACCTGTAATCAATCATTCTGCATAGCCTGCTTCAGTTCATTTCCACTCACAAAACACAGTACTGTGACTTCTGTCAACATTTATGTAAAGTCGTGCTTTTCAGCCTATCAGGCTCCTTATTAGGTTCATTTGCAGCCATAAAGTGTGAAGGTCATGCCAGGAAGGTCATGTCAGTAGGGTAGAAATTTACTAGTTTTACTTAAAGGAAGGGTGCCACCTTTTGGACACAACGCAGTTTTTACAAGATTAGCCTCACATGAACCTAAAAACCGGCTTCACTTACCTATGCTCGAGACGGTCAGCATTGAATCCGCACGTGAAGTTATCATTTGCGAGTTTTGCTGCCAGCATTCGGGCAGGCAAAAATCTTCAGCACTATTTCCTCGTCGTGTTAAGGGTATTTTATAAAACATGAAATCAGCAAAGGTATGCATAAAAGTTATACTTTTGAAGCATGTTTTATCATTTTGAAAGGGTATATTTTTTCTTTATGGTATACACTTAAGTTTTAAAATTTTAATTGGGAAGTTTTTCTAGTAAGTTGCATGAAGGGTGAAGTGTTCCATAGATCTCTTAAGCATTGTAAAGGAAAAACCTTTACTCGACTTATTTGATGTTCTTTAACTGTTGGCAAATATGGCCAACAGTTACCTACTTGGTTACCTACAACTTAGTTCAAATCATGTTATCTTCTTCCTTTTTATTTGTTCATCTTTTTGTCTCAGTTGCGCCATCAATGCAAATGGCAGAATGATATGTTGCCATGACAACAGGATATGCCAGCCGTCCTAGCTGCCACATCAAACGACCTTGAGTTGTAGTGGTGATATAAACAACGATCTTTTTTTTTGGCCAATGTATTAAATGCAATGTTTCGGTTTTTTTGTATATTTTGGACGCGCTAACCACGTCTAAAAATTCAAATAAGTAAAATAGATTCATAGAACAAAAAATTCGGAAGGTGGCACCCTTCCTTTAACTTGTGTTTCTGATACAAATGATGAGGTACAAAATACAAAACAAATAATGAAAAAGATGCTTTCATTGATAGGTAGAATATCAATGCCTTCATATTAACCCGCGCCCCACTGGGGTCTGTGTATAACACGCCCTACTGGGGGGGGGGGGGGGGGGGGCTATTCATAGCCCCCCCTCCTAACTCCGAAACTACTGGGCCGATCGTCAAAATTCAAACGGCGTCTGATAGCCCCGGAAAAACTGTCGAGCGAAACCTAATTTCATTGACCTCGAGGTCACCGATGACGTCACAGGTCAGGTCAAAGTAAAAATTATTAGCACTTTGGCTTGTTCACATTTTGGGCTCTGGCCGCCGTCTTACAAGTCAGATCAGGCTCATTTTTGGTTTCCACACTCGTGAACAGATGCTCTAGATACCTTGAGGGTACCAAACTTGTACTTTGATTTTCAGGTCAGGGTCAGGTCATCACAGGTCACGAAAATATTATATCATGCGTCGGTCACGTGACACATGTTTTATGGTCCATTTAGGCCATAGATTTCGAATTTGATGTCGTTTGTGTCATTCAAGGTCATTTTGAGTCGAAATTAGCTTAGGTCAGGTCACTTTCAGGTCAAAAAAGGTCAAATTTTGAAGTTGAAATTTTTCAACAAAAAAGGTGTCTATTGGATGCAGTTTGAGCTCAGGAACACGATGGTGCCATTTATATTGGTGTACGATGCCAAATACGTACTGAAAAATTGATTTGAAAAATTGATAATTGTAAATTTTTTGCAATAATGCGTATAACTTGGCCATTTTTGAAGATATTTAGCTAAAACTTGCTAGAGTTAGTCATAATAATGTGTTCTGTCACATATATTCCGGTTTTTTCGAAAAGTCAAAAACTTTTTGAAAAAAATATACAAATATAAATTTTGAATATTATTATATAAAATTTTCGGAATTTTCAAAATTTTGAAAATCCGAGATAGCAGTTTGATAGCGCGGTCAATTTTGAGTTCTTTCATGCAAAGAAATTGGATCTAGCTTAAAAACTGAGCTCTTGGGAGCGATTGCCGTGGTTCAATGTTTTGCGTCGAAATCGGACGAACATGACGTCACTCTGACGTCATTTCCGGCCGACCTATGGTAGCTACGAAGTTCAAATTTTGACACAAGGTGTCAAATTGATGCAGCCGAAGGTACTGAAAGTTTGGCGTCGATTCGTCAAGCGGTTTGGAAGTTATTGCAGAAAAACGGGAGGGGGGGCTATAAATAGCCCCCCCCCAGTGGGGCGCGGGTTAATAATTTTTAAACATTTTGATGGGTTTCCTTCTGCCACATACCTATTCTTTCTTTCCTCCCCTTATCTACCCTCATTTCTGTTTCTTTCTGCTTCTTTCTTGTGCTCATTCCTGTCCTCCCTTCATTCACCATTCTCCATAATCTCCATCTTCCCCTTTTCCATGTTTTCATCTATTCTCTGGTCCCTTTTCTTCTTTCTTTTCCACCTTCATCTTTATTATAGTTTATACCCTCTTTCCTGTCACTCCCTTTCCCACGACTCTCTTCCTCCCTCTTCTCCCATCTCCTATATCATCTCTTCTCCTCTTCTCTTCCCTCTTCTTCCTCACCACAACATTCCAGCTCTTACCCTCCTCTCCCCTCCTCTCTCTCCCTCTCTCCTGTTTCCACAGGTGACCGCTGGGTCGTTTTTCCACACCTGTCCTGTCGTCCCATGGCTCAGCGCACCCGCCAGCCTGGCTCTCATTCATCGCATTTACTAGGCGGCCAGCTATTTCTGTCCCGTTTCTGACCAACCGCGCACTGCCTTCCTGACGGTTCTGACTGACCTCTCGAGAGGCACGCCGCCGCCCCGGTACTGCCAGAAGGCCACAGGTACTGCGCCGTAGGTCAGCAAGGTGGGCACTGTGCTGTGACCTTTGACCTCTGACCTTTCCACCCCTCCTCCTGTTGTCTCACCTGGCCTGCCCCACTGTTGGTGTTTCCCTTGTCTCGGTATTTAGGATGCTTTTGTGGTTTGGATGAGAGAAAGTTTGGATGTGAAGACAACTTATTTTTATTTTGCTTTCGTCACAGAATGATTAACTTTTCGACGAGCAATTTGAATATTAACCAATGTTGGCAGCTTTACGGGAACGAAGTTCTTCCCCACATTCCTTCCACTGAGATTCCTGGTAGCTTACATAATTCATCTAAAAACTTTCTGCTTGCCCGTCCTCGGGTGCCACTGCCTGGTGATCCCGGTGACCTTTTGGATCATTTGACTCCGTAATAAGCCTCCTTGCTGTACTCTCCAGGCTGTTGACATATGTTAACGCAGGTGTAAACGTCTTCGTCAGTAGCAGCGAACGATGCTTGAGCACTCACTACAAGCTGGGAAGTTGGGGTGATTTAATTATATTTACTTTTGTAGTAATCGTGCGATTAATGAATGTTGAAGGCTGAATGTCAACATGTTTGGAACGCTTAGAATAGACACCGCACTATTTTTATTTAGATAGTGTTACAAATTACAATATATTTTTATGACCCCGTCCAACCTGACATCGGTAAACTCCATTTATTCATTTATTATTTGGCACCCTATTCTCACACCATTTTGGGTGCGTCTAGTGGATTTTCTACCAGAATTGCTGACAAAAACATGCCACACACCTTCGAAAGACAACACTTCGTTCTGTGACGCGGGAGCGATCGTTTCACACAGCTGTGCCACCGTGACGTAAGCCTGCGGTCTCACAGCTTGTCCTTACGAACAGGTGGTCATGTTCTATATACACTCGCCTCGGTTTTATATCCGGTAATTGCTCATGTCCTATTTCTTTAAACACCTGTAAGAACATCTTCGGGAAGCGTTGAGCGTCAAATAAGCTCCGTGCAGTTTATATCAGCTGGTCGGGACGGTCAAGTGGGTTCAGGAATCACCAGACTGGGTATTACTATTGGCTGCGCTTGTCCGCTGCGGTGGTGGCGGCGGCGGTGGCGGCGGTGGTGGTATGTGGCCGCTGGAACGGTGCCTAGTATTGTTGTCGGATTGGCGTCGAGTCGACCACCTGGCAGACCCGTCTGCCGCGAGAGTCTTGTGGACCGCTGCCAAACCCCTCCCCCCGCCCCCGGGCTGCTCT